CGAATCGAAGGAGATTGCCTCGGAAACAGCGTCAGCATGAATGTTCCAGAAGAGCCAATCTACAGCTGGTCAAGAGAAGTCAACCGTCTTCTTTTGGTGTAACCGACCTTCGATTCTCTAAACCCAACACTTTCACTCGAAATGGAAGTAAGCTCAACAAGTAAGAATGGTACCCTGCTCTGATGGTGTCCATCATACGACAGACGAACGCTTAGCATGTTTTCAAATAGACTGTCATGGAGACAACTTCAATGAGGATATTTCTGCTAAGCCAATCGACGTCTGGTCGTTGTCTTCTGGTAGGATCGACTTTTGAATCTCTTTTCATCATCCACACTCTCACTCGAAATGGAAGTGAGCTCAACCAAAATAGCATATTTGGAAGAGACTGGTTCCACAATCACTACCAAAGTTTCTTCCCATTTTAAAGTGGTTTGTTCTCGTTTTGAGCTACCTGTTCATGTAGTCAGGGCGATTCAGATGAATGCGATTTGTTCACCGTCATGATGATTCTCAGCATTAGAGTTCAGAGATCAGACATATTAGCTTCGGTCGCCCTGGCAACATGACCAACTTGCAAAAGTGGGGTTAAATGATTTGTGCGCAGCAAAAGTCGACAACGACCAAGACACACGCCTCAACTTCTTGGCAACGCGACGACAGTGAAACGTGGCAATTTCGTGAATGTCTGGTTGCCAGTCATTGGTGCAAGCTTGACTGAGAGGCGAGATGCTTCTTCTGTGGGGCTTACGAGTTGCTGCGTCGCATCTTTTTGCAAATGCCCATCCAAACCCTTCCGATGGCAGCAAGACGAAACTGTTGCTTTGCTGTCTTTCATCTCGCCTTTCTCGATGTGGTGCCAACTCTGTCTTCTGCAGCCACATCATCCGCAACACTCCGCGCTCACGGAACACACAACATCCACAAAACAGCCATCAGCTTCACCGCTAATAATACCCACAAAACCCAAAACATTTACAACACACACGAAACTCTCACAAGTCGCATAGCACCCACGATAGATCAACATCAACACAACTTGCAACATCCATGACACACAAAACAGACAACACGTTATGCACAATGACAAACCCCACAACATCTGCAACACCCACAAATCCCATAGCATTCAACACTCATGACATGCATAACACCAAAACTCACACAATATCTACCAGCTTCAGCCTTTACAATATCAAAAACACCCCAAACCCATATAGTCCCATAGAACTTGCAAACGACACGACACACAAAACAGCCTCGACAGTCAGCAAAGCCCACTTCTTCGCATTCATTCACTTACCATGCCAGAGACCAGCATGTTATTTACGTATTCCAGAAAGCTGTCTTCTTTGATGTCATTGTCGGTGAAGATGAATGTAAGCCCAGCGCCCTCCTGGCCCGTGACTCGGTGGATCACCTTCAGATCATCAATGAAGTTGGTCAGCGAATAGCCACTACAAAAAAAAGAAATTTTGTTTAAATTTCCCACAAAAGTATACTCACGAAATAGTGATTGGCAAATCTCTCCATAGACGCTCCTGACATGAAACATTAAAATGGGCAATCCATTCGTGGAATTGAAATGATGCAAAGTGGGTTAACCTCGTTTTCGCAACTTGAATTTATGGTCAGGGCGACTTGGTTGAACGCAGCTTGCACAAAGTCCCCTACCACTTTAGGGATCATAACTCCCAGCATCAGACCGTGCATTTGGTACTCTGATGTTGGGAATTATGATGATTTCGGACAAGGTGCTTTCAACTAAGTCACCCTGGCAACATTAAATGGTACATGAGCTGTGTTCACCCTACCTCGTTTAAGATGCTAAATGACGAACAGTTGAATTTGTACACAATAACATGAATAGACATGACGCATAACCGTGTTTTGGCAAAAGAGTGGATTGTAGCATCAATCTTTTCTGGGTCTTACTAACAGCCCTAGCGGGACTCGAGCCATGACAGTGCAGCGAATAATTTCCACACGTCAATCACTACGTCGCATTGTTCTTGGGTCGTCAGACAGGCGTGAATGTCAAAGAAGGTCTGGCATTTTACCATTTTACAGTCTTTGGTGAAAATGTCGACGAAGCAAAGTTGTATTTGCTGTGACTATCGACTGCGCTACTTATTTTTCGAGACTAACAGTAGATCATTTTTTTCATATGAAATGTACTCATCCTATTCTGTTTCAGGTGATCGTTCAACTTTCACACAATCGTATGAAAGGACATTTCCTGTAAGCCAATGCCACTAGCGACATTTTGGAATAATGGAGATCATATCGAGGCTATACGTTGTGCTCTCATGGTTCGAGTCCCGCTGCGGGTACCGCTGAGATGAGTTGAGGCAAAATCAAAGCTGCAGTCCACTAGTGCCTGATGAGACTAACTTTTGGGAAGCAAGTTTATGTGAAATTCAACCACCAGTCTTCTCATCACTTTAACCGGAAAAGGGTGAGCACAGCGCATGTGAGTGCTTTGTCGGCAGTCTCGAAAGCTCAATTAAACTGGGCCTGTCTTCCCTCTGAGACAAGACTGCTGTACTTCTGGCGGACGTGATTGGAAACCGTCGAGCTCATTCGAGCGTTATTGTCGAGAAAAAGAAGAACAAACGCCCCACGATCTCGTCTTTCGCTCTGTTTCCACGACTGCTGGCTCAGCCGACGCGTTGCTCGTGGACAAATCCGTTGCGTCGTCCTTGCCCCTCCACCAGCGCATCGAGGCAGGAACCAAAAGTGGGTTTCCTAATGTTTCTGCGCTTTGCCCAACTCCAACACGCCTTGATACAGGTTGACGTTTCCCAATTGTCACCG